AATTGCACAACTAAAGCAGCTCCGGGTAGGTTTTGATCGCATTGCAGGTCCATATCACTGCGACAAATTATTTCAGTTATTTCAAATACTCTTGCAGCCTACCACAGCTAAAGAACCAAAACCACAAAGACGTTGAATAAATATGAGAAACAATAAGATAAAATTACACTTAACTTTTTTGATTACCTTTTGAAGCACGCTCTATCGTTTTCTCTCCCGCGTGCACGCACACACACACAGATAGAGAAGCACGGAAATGATCATCGGACAGAGAGCACTTGTTGTTGTCAGCGCTGCCCTGTGACTTTATCAATAAAACTACCGAGGATCGACGTGAAATTTCTTAATAGCGAGGTGGTAATGTTGTTATTTTTTAAGCAGTTAAACTTACAGCTTCGCTACTAGTGAAGGAACATTGAGAGCCACGCAAACTCAGGTAATTCCGCTCTCTCTCTCTCTCTCCTCTCTCTCTCTCTCTCTCTCTCAATTCATATTGCTTTATTGGCATGACATACTTACGTACATATTGCCAAAACATTGTACATAGCAGAATAAAAACAAACTCTCTCTCTCACACACACACACACACACACACACACACACACACAGTCAGTCAGTCACTCATTCTCTCTCCAAAAACTGCAACTGTCCGCCCCTGATGGCTGGCAGTTGCAGCCTAATCCTAACCCCTCCCCCACACCTAACCCTAAACCTACCAATACTAGGGGGTGCATAATCTGGCAGGGTGCAAATTTCGGCACTACACCGGTGTTGCACCGAATTCTGTGACCATAGTAGGCGCTGTATTGAGCTAATCCAACCTACTCCTAAACCCAATCCAAATCCTAAACCTATCCTCACTACAGCGCCTACTAAGGTCACATAATTCGGTGGTCATTGCATAAAAATATAAATAATTAATTATAGTAAATGTATAGTAAATGAGTCAACCATTCAAATTAACTTAAATTCAAATTAAATGTCAAAATTTTGAAATAGCCAATCAAATCGAAAAAGGCGGGATTTACTGTTAACAGAAGCTGAGCTGCACGGTAGGGGTGTTCGGTTCCAGGTTTTTCGGAGCCGACTCCATTTAGCGTGACTGTCCAAATTAGTCCAATTTAGCAGTGACATTACCTTTAAATGAGCTATCACCGTTGTTTGCTGTTGCCGACACTTAATTTCACAGAGGGAAAAGTCACGAAAAACAGCCGTGGTGGAATATTCTCTCAGAATTAAATAAAAAATAATATATTCTTTAATTAATTCATCACATAATGGTCAGGGGCTGGCGCTAAACGCATAGTCTTAAACAGCATTGATATTAAAAAATAAATACAATAGGCCTAAATACAAAAATACATACGAATGTAGGCCTACACTTACTGATTTGTTTATTCTTGTTTATTATGTGTCCGTTTTTAATGATTTAAGCTTATTTTAATGATTGAATAGCCTATGGAAAATGTAGCCTATATGCTACTGACTGCATTAAACATAGGCTAACATTGCATAACAAAACATCAATTATACAAAGCTGTCACAGAAGCATGTATAATTACAAACTAAATTTACTATTCCACACCTGTTTCACACATACTCCGTTTGCAGTGCGTGTTTTTTTCCTTTCCCATGTTGAGCATTCACTCGATGCATTACGAGCGGTACGGTTACGGTACGGACCAGCAGGGTTACTTGTAATGTAATAAAAAAAAATTAAAATAAAAGTTTCTGTCAATGATAAGTTTTAATTTAAAATTGTGATAGCCTACTGCCTTAACGTAAGAAAAGTAGACTAGGCTGTGTTTACGTTTTGCCACTTGCTTGAACATCTTAATATATAAATATATGCATTTAATAATATTGCGCTTACACATGAACATGTCTATGAAAGATAGTATTACTGTGTGATAAGATCATCACTATGCTGAGAGAGAGAAAAAATTAGTAACAAAGTTTGAATTTGAAATCAAAATAATAGTGGTAAACAGCGGCGGATCATAGAGCACTGAGCACACTAAATAAAGCACACCAAAGACTATAGAATACCCAAGACGTGTGGCTCGTATAGTTTTGAATGGGGAAAAATGCAACACTCAATATGGCCGCTCTATTGAACGAAGCCCCGCCTTCTGAGCAAAAGAGCCAATCGCTAATCGGTAAAGTCAGCACGTCACTGCAGCTGCCGTTAGAAGTCCCGGTTGCTATAGAAACTCAACGCTCTGAGACATGCGGTTAGCACTGCGCATGTGCACTGGCTGAGCTAGCCTGAAAAATAAGCTTTATTTAACGCTATTTGAGCAAACATTTATGATACAGTTGTTGTCAGATTTCATTGGTGATTTCAAATATGAAATTTAATCGTAAGCTTAGTGAACAGTTTTGGAGAATTGCACACTGAGCCCGTGCTGCTTCTGCACCGTATAGGCTACGCACCGCACACGGACTGCACTGCAAACGGATCCTCGCTTAATTTCGTTCACTCTTTGCTGATATACAGCACTCAACTGCCATGCACTATATAGGGATTTGAGAATCAGTGAAGACATCAGCGATTTCAGAGTCGACACCAAGAATCGATTCCAGTGCTGGAGTCGACTCCGACTCTAGGGCTATTCAGAGTCGAGGAATCGACTCTTTTGGAATGTGAGCTGAGGTAACGTTAAAATGTAGCAGCAGCTGAACATGACGAGACAATTCAGCAATATTTGGCAACTGTTTTTGATAATAATAAAAAAAGTTAAACGCAGACATTAATTTTCAGGGATGTAAACTACTGCTATGATGGCGGATCATTTCATTCATTTTCTTCATTTAATATAAGTTAGTCTTTATTGTTGCTGTGTTTTCATTAGAAAAAGGTTGTGTTTTAATTAAGCTAATAGGCTAATAATGAACCACAAACTACAATAGAGAATGTGAAGCTGACGCCACGCCACACTGAGTTCTGGGAAACTTCTTTGTTTATCCGCCATACTGGGAGGATCGCGCTGCAAATGTTTCATGAGCACCAAATCAGCATATTAGAACGATTTCTCTAGGATCATGTGACACTGGAGACTGCAGTAATTATGATGAAAAGTCAGCTTTGCATAACATCAATTAATTACATTTTAACAAAAAGAGAAATCACTCAACTGCTCTGCTTGCTGATTAACTTTTGTAGCTTGAATAAAGATGAATCTATATGAAGAATAATGGCTTTCAGTTATACTGTAATGTGGAATGGCGATGATTAATGGCTAAAATTGAGGGGGGACATGCATTTAATAGAGACATCAGTAACATTATTGGTATCAATGATACTGGTCTTCATTATTAATAAGCTACTTAGTAAAAAGATTCCATTGAACACATATTTAAAATATACCATCTTTATGTTGTTTCTACATTTATTTATTGTTACTGTTATTAGGAGAGAGACTGCAGAGTAATATGATAACCACAAAAGTAGCACCATGTTGTATATAAACATTGAATATAACCATAAACACAGAATATAAATATGGCATATATTAAATACAAAAATATTTCACCCTTAATGCCATGATAAAAAAAAAGATGTAATAAATGAAAGTACGTATTTCAAAGCTTATATACTGATTCTCACTATGTTTGGGCACAAATTCTATAGTATTTATTTGCACTATTTACATTTCAAGTACTTGACAGTGGAGATTGAGTCATGATTTTCATGGTCAATCCAAAAAAGAAAAAAAGGCCCTTATATGGTGCTAGGTGTTAAAGAAAGTCATAAAGTAATGATTTTATTTGAGGTTATTAAGCAAAAGCACATTCATATAATGTAGCTTTTAAAAACTTGGTTTATGATCTGTTTTATAAGTAGTAAAGTGGAAAGCGCTGGCTGAGAACCAGACAACAGAACAGACACCTTTTTGGTAAAAAAAAAAAAAAAACAAAAAAAAAAACAGCTATCGCCTGTAGGACTGGTACAGCCAAAATTGCACTATTTACATTTCAAGTACTTGACAGTGGAGATTGAGTCATGATTTTCATGGTCAATCCAAAAAAGAAAAAAAGGCCCTTATATGGTGCTAGGTGTTAAAGAAAGTCATAAAGTAATGATTTTATTTGAGGTTATTAAGCAAAAGCACATTCATATAATGTAGCTTTTAAAAACTTGGTTTATGATCTGTTTTATAAGTAGTAAAGTGGAAAGCGCTGGCTGAGAACCAGACAACAGAACAGACACCTTTTTGGTAAAAAAAAAAAAAACACAAAAAAACAGACAGCTATAGCCTGTAGGACTGGTACAGCCAAAATGTTTTTTTTTATGTATTTATTAATATGTTTTATTATATTACAACATTTGTATAATATGTATGTGTATACATAATATATTTTTATACATTTGTATTTGCATAATTTATTCTATATATTATACATTTTTTTGAATATATATTTTCTACACTATTTACATTGCATTTGCATATGTGGTCACCAGATAAGCAAGTAATACTGCCAGATGCAAATTTCACTGCCTCAAACCAAGGAACCAGAAGCTACCAGGGTCTGGCAGCCTCGCAAGATGCTAAGGCATTGAGGAACCACCCAGCACCAGATGTTATGCTGAAGGATGGAGAGGCTGAGACCGGAAACTGTGACAGCCGATACAGAGACCTCTGGGACAGCCGTGGCAGGAGAACCTTTCATAGAAACCTCTGGAACGGCCAAAAGATGAATTCTGGGACTCTGACCATGACATGTAGCTCGTGTCATACAGACGGCTGTGAGAGGGAATCAATGCACTGTCCCTAGGCAAGTAATATCGGCAGACACCAACATTACTGCCACAAGCCAAGGCGCCAAACACTACCAAGGCTCGCCAGCCCAGCTAGATGCTAAGGCATGTAGGGATTGGCACTCATGTCAGGTCACCAGATGCTATGCTGACTCGAGGAACTCTGGAACTGTGGCAGTAAATAGTGTAAATAATGTTTACAATTGATTTGCACTATTTACATTTTCCTCTTTACGTCTTATTCAGCGACCTGGAATAATAACAACCAAACAACATATAAAAACAAATGCCATCATTCTTAAAAAACAGAAGTATTTAGGGGAAATGTTAAGTCAGTATATCTTCAATCTTCTATGTTAAATCACTGTAGCTCAGTACCTTAAACCATTCGTGTAGAAGGATTTCTCTCAAATCAATCCTCTGGCTTGGGTTTTGCTGCAGGAGAGACTGAATCAGGTGGCAGCAATCTGTGCAAGAACCATGAAAGAGAGGAAGAGATGATTCCTGTATTGTCTATCTATTGGCTTGGGCGTTACTTTTCCCTCCTTGTTTTGAATGATTTCAGTTACAGTTGGTCTTAATTGTTATGAATGGCAACCTACTGTCCGACAAGCCAGGCTCAGACCAGATGTCGTATTCAGTCGTGTGTAGGTCTCTGGGTTGTGGAAAGCGTCCACACACCATGGTGAGTAAGAGCACTCCCAGAGACCACACAGTAGCTGGTTTCCCGCGGTACCAGCGTCTCACATAGTACTCAGGAGGGAAGTACTCTTGTGTGCCTGAGGAAACAAAATTTTGTCTGATAGGTAAGCTTGAAATACTACAGCATGTTTTCTGTGTAAAAAATATCTGGTGTTATTAAATAAAAAATAATGCTCTCAAAGTACAGGTTTGATGCATAATACATACCATAGAAACTTTTATAGCCAGAGTCATTCAGGAGATCCCCGCACCCAAAGTCAATCAGTTTGACCTCGAGAGTTTCGGGGTTCATCAGCAGGTTCTCCAGCTTAAAAGGTTAGTTCACCCAAAAATGAAAATTCTGTCAATAATTACTCACCCTCGTGTTGTTCCAAACCCGTAAGACCTTCGTTCATCTTCGGAACACAATTTAAGATGTGTTTGATTAAATCTGAGGGCTCTCTGACCCTCCCATAGACAACAAGGTAACTACCACGTTTAAGGTCCAGAAAAGTACCAAGATGATCGACAAAGTAGTCCGCGTGACATCAGTGGTTCTGCTCTTTTAAGAGTATTAAATGACATTTTGCTACTTGTTGACTCTGAGAACTCAGTAATTTTAGTGCTTTTAGATTTGAGTGCAGCTTTCGATACAATTGATCATGGCATTCTTTTATCGCGCCTTGAAAAGTGTGTGGGCATCCAAGGAAGTGCCCTGAGCTGGTTCAGATCTTATCTTAGTAACAGAACTTTTTCAGTAGGCATTGGTCGCGCTGTTTCATCTGTAGCTCCTCTTACCTCTGGTGTTCCTCAAGGCTCTATTTTGACTCCCATCTTGTTTTCACTGTACATGCTTCCACTAGGTTCAGTTTTTAGGAAGCATGGAGTGTCCTTTCATTTTTATGCTGATGACACCCAAATGTATTTACCTTTAAAACACAATGACAAGAATGGTTTAGAAACATTGCTTGCATGCTTAGCTGATGTAAGATCTTGGATGTCTAAAAAATGTTTGCATTTAAATGAGGGAAAGACGGAAGCAATTGTCTTTGGACCCTCTGTGGGTAAAGGAAAACCAAATTTTAACTGTGGTCATTTAAGCTCTTATATCAAACCAACGGTGAAACATTTGGGAGTTCTTTTTGATTCCTCCCTAAAGTTTGACCAACATATTAACTCAGTAGTTAAATCATGTTTTTTCCATCTTAAACTTCTGTCAAAAGTTAGATCTTTTGTATCTTTTAAAGATCTTGAAAGATCTTTGTTTTATCACATTTGGACTATTGTAACTCCTTGTATATTGGACTACCCTAATCCTCCATGTCACGGCTTCAAATGGTTAAAAATGCCGAAGCCAGATTTTTAACAGGGGTTTGTAAACGAGAACACATTACTCCGATTTTAATGTTTCTAAACTGGTTGCCAGTGCGTTATAGAGTTGAATTTAAAATTTTGCTGTTTGTTTTTAAGTCTTTAAATGGTCTGACACCTCCTTATTTGTCAGATCTTGTAAATGTGAATAGGTCTGCCAGATGTTTGCAATCCTCAGACAGTATTACTCTGTCATATCCAAGATCAAGATTGAAGTTGAAAGGTGACCGTGCGTTTGCGGTGACCGGTCCTAGGTTATGGAACAGTCTTCCCTTATCTGTGAGATCCGCATCTTCTGTATATGATTTTAAATCTAAGCTACAGTCTCATCTTTTTATTCTTGCATTTAATTCATTATAATTCTTGGTCTCATTTTAACTTATGTTTTAGTGTATTATATTTAGTATTATTCTTTTTATTTTACCTTTCCTCTTTTGTACAGCACAGTGGTCAACTCTTGTTGTGTTTATTTGCGCTTTATAAGTAAATAAATTAAATTAAATTAAAATAACGACTTTATTCCACATTTTCGTCTCTACTGCATCACTTGTGGACGCGAGTTGACAGTATCATGACGTGAGTGTGTGGCGGCACCGGAGCTGACACAGATCTGGCGTGATGACGTCATTACGCCGGATCTGGGTCAGCGCCGCCACACGGCGATGACAGAATTTTCATTTTTGGGTGAACTAACTCTTTAATGTCACGGTGAAACACGCCTTGATTATTCATGATCCAGCCTCATCTACAGAAGAAGTGAGTATAATGTTTTGTAATGAATCTTTGCAAATCGCCTTTCTATGACCCCTTTAATGGAAATCTTATGTCTGTATTACAGATGCAGCACAAATTTTTACCAAGGCAAAACAATTCATTAAACCACAAGTGAAGAAATGCCAGTTTCCCCTCCGTCAAAAGGAAAACCCCTTTTAAAGGTTAGTTGTGGCAAATATTAAGTCAGCTTGAAAAAGCCAACTGACTGAACTACTGCTTAGACTTGTTATTATTAGTAGTTAGCTTTCTATCTATCTATCCATCCAAAATAACATTACAATAGCTTTCATAACTACTAAACTAAAACTTAAAACTATTGTAAGCTTAAAATTAAAAGTATGTCAAAATTTACTTTGATTTGTATTTAACATGGAAAATTTAACATGATTTAACAACACTTAGACCAACTTATTATTTCTCTTGTTCCAAGATAAAAATGGCTCCCATGGAGTGGAAACCAAGAACTGCTAAAAAAAGAGGAACATATAAAAAAATCATCCTTGAAGAGGCCCCACCACGGATAATTGTCACAGGCACTGAGGGGTATGATGAGCTCCTAAAACTCGGCCAGGAGACATTTTGGTCAGACGAGAGAGGGGAGTGTGTTTACTCTCTGCCAAGCAGATGGGACGAGGTGGACGAAGGAACAGTTCCATCAGGAATTTGGATCCGTGGCAGAGATCCCAAACGTCTGGAAGCGAACATTTTACATTGGACGTAGAAAAATGGGTATTGTAATGTTGAAATTACATGGCATGTGTGTTATAAACTTGCTCTTGTGCTAATACAGTACCAATTGCATGTTGTATCTACAGATGTCATTTGCCTTGATGAAAGCAGCTCAATATCAGGTATGTACCATAAGTTTTGATGACACATTTTAAGTGCCGTGTATGTTTTGTAATACATAACAGTTGCTCATTAATTATATTGTTTAGTATGTGTTCCATTTATTTATGTATCACTCCCTTCTTTTCTCAGGAATTGGTGAAAGTGAAGTGGACTCATCTATGGTAACTTCAGTTTACTAATTTATATTTTTAAATAAAGTCTTACTAAAATATTACTGTTGAATATTTGGATGTTTAGATAACACTGATGATCTTGATGGATGTTTGTAGGATTTCCAACCAAAGAGATCCAGAATTTTAGGAAGATGTACAGACCAAAGTATAGTGAGGGGCTTAGGTTCAGGCCAGCATGCTGTGGGAGATCAGAAAGCGCTGATCGAGTTCCAGGTTCAGAAAGATCACTTTACATATATACATTCATTCATTCAGACAGACAGGCAGACCGACATTACATGCTGATCCAAATTCAGACTCACCAGTTGCAGTGAGATCCACTAGTGCTGATAAATCCTTAAAGGGTTAGTTCACCCCAAATTAAAATTTGATATGAATTACAGATTACAGTAACCATGGATGTCCAGCTCCAAAAAAGAGCACTCTCAAAAGCCATATGATAGGTTTTAATGTGGAAGAGAAACTAGATCAAGAAGAATCTTGGTCAAATGTTATTTTCAATTTTGAATATTCAGAAAGGTACTTATTTCATTACAACACAAAGATAATCAACAACATGCTTTTTGACTATGAACAAAGCTTCAATAAATGTCAAGATTTTAAGAATAATGAAAATTAGTGCTTTTATCACAAAAAAAAACTATTATATTACATTACATTGTCATTCCTTGGTGTTTAGTTACAATGTTTATTCTTAAGGTTTGTAAACCTCCAAATTTGTAAACAGTACAGTAGTGTTAAATTGTCATGCATTTCAGTTATATGCATAAATCATGCATTTAATTAGGTTAGTTTTGCCACTGTCAAGACAGTTTACATCATTTTAAGTAATGTACACGGCAACTTAAAACTTTGAAAAGGATTGCGTGTGGTCTGTGAGATAAAAAATGAGTTCATGATTTACTTAACTTAATCAGTCCACTGTTGTATTGTAACTGTTACTCCTGGTCAAAAACGTCCATAATTTTATAGTTTATATGTGGGATTACTTATTTACCACTAAGTGTAATGGTGAAAAACATGAATATTTATCAATGCATAAAATTTAGTATTGCATAAAAACTACTGCCTGTAACTGATCCCAGAATACTTTAAATATACTTCATAAATTGTGTGTATGTCTACTTTTTGTCCTTCTGGAGCTTGACATCTGTGGTCATAATGAACTGCCCTTGTGTAGAAAATGTTTTAAACATTGTTACTTTTTACCTTTTGTGTTTTAAGTGGAAATAATAATACCATATGCAACAGCAAGAGGGTGATTAAATCATGGCAGAATGTTAATTTTAAGGTAATCTAATTGATTTTTCAGACCAAAGTGTAAGTGGGTACACTCCTCCAGAACTTGTTGCAGAGAAACCCATCCAGGAAGGCATAGGATCTGCAGAAAAAGATGGATGTCCACAAAATCAAGTGTTTTATTTTTTGTCCAATGTTGTCACCATATTACCATCATGTAAGTATAATATTGCCAACCAAGACACATAAGTTTACAAGTTAATTAGGATTAAAGTGGATATATTCTTTAAATGCCTGAAATAATATACTTTTTTTTTCCAATCTCAACTTTATTAAATATAGTATATGTTCCGCACCTACCATATGTGGACGAGTCGCAAGTCCATTACAAAGAAGAGAACCTGCTGGGTGAAGGTGCCTTTGGAAGAGTGTATAGAGGCTACTTTCAGGGCACCCCTGCTGCAATAAAAAAAGATTCTGTATGGCACCACAGGACTTCCAGACCAAGATATCCAGCACGAGATTCTGGTCTCACTGTAAGATTAATTCTCATCATTAATTCTATCTTCTAATTAAACATACATTTTAATTTTATTAAAACAGTTGGGGAGAATTGAACAGTTGGGAATAACAACAGTGCATTTCTACTGTGTGCTAGTTATATTGTTGTCATTTAAGTTTTACTTGATAATTTGCTAAATGCCTGTAACATTTCATTGTATTTTATAGCCGACTGAGCCATCCAGCCCGCACTGACAACGCCTTCTTGCTGGCCAATGAGTATATACATGGCACAACCCTGGAGGATGCACTACACAATGACAATTCTTGTTAAGGTAAAAAAAAAAAAAAATCATATTTTTCATGTAACGTTTGTGAAAAATTGCCTTAATATTTAATAGCTAATACTTAAATGCCAAATCAAAATATAAGAGGGAGATCCACACTCTGTTACCTTATTCTCTTATTAAAGGGGTCCTATTATGCTCTTTTACAATGTCTTGAATTTGTTTTCTGAGAATGCACTTCTGAGAGTGCAAGCCTGCGAATGCATGTCTGAGAGTGCAAGCCTGAGAATGCACGTCTGAGAGTGCAAGCGCCAGCTGCAGCCAGACCCTTCTCTAAGCTTCTCTCCTCCGTATATCCATTACACTGAATAATTACATGTTCTACAGTTTCTCTAACTCCACACCAATCACACAGTCCTGTTGGATGTTTCCCTATTATGTGCAATGTTGAATTTAGCCCTGTATGTCCCAACCTTAGTCTTGAAAGAACACAATCTGGTGGCTGACTTGAAGCAGTGCATGCCGGTTAGAAATTTTGTCCGACTTGAACCGGCGCCGACGCTACGTCACTAGGCTTGTTTGAGATGAGCAAAATCTGCGCAGAACCGATCACCGCTGATCACCGCGAGATGCATGCCGGTTAGAAAAGTGTCCGACTTACCTCTGACTTGCTCTGATGTCATGCTGACGTGTGCAAAAAAACTCTCGGATTGTGCAGTCGAGCGCAGTTGCTCTCCACCGACTGCGCTGATCAAAAGCATGATGGGAAACGACTGACTGGCGACACCGCTTAATGCTCATTGGTTTAGACAACTGTGATGCTGCGTTCTCTTCTAAAATGTTTTTTTTTTTTTTT